AGTGATTACAAAATTAGAGGGGTAAAGATCATTCCTCTTATCAGAATTCTGTGTGCAGAAAGGGTTGTTCTCAGGATTTTCATTTAGCAGAATGAAGTGTGGGCTAAGAAACATTGAGAAATAATACAATAAAATAAGCCCCTCCATTTAAATTACATACAAAGTATATGCAAATGTATATTTTTCTAGGAAAAAGGCTCTACATAGAGTTCTTCCGCTCTTCCAAGGAGTCTATACTCAAAAAGGATTAAGGACTACTGTTGTTTTGTTTCTTTTTCATTCCTTAAGGATTACTGGCTTAGATTAGGTGAAGAATGGCAGCTATAGATCCAACTCAGGGAGTGCGTGGAATTCAGTAGGGAGAAGTGGAGCCAAAGAACCAGGAAAACAGGGCTGGAAGTGAGAACCATTATAAGATACTTAAGAGTTTTACACACAGGGAATTAATAATAGCTATCCTGAGCCAGGTGTAGTCACACACACACACACACACACACACACACACACACACCCCAGTAATCCCAATTACTCAGAAGCCTGAGGCAGGAGGATGACATGTTTGAAGCCAGGCGCCTGGGAAACTCAGTGAGACCTTGTCTAAAATAAAATAAAGTAAAATAGCAAAGTAAAGTAAAATTAAATAAGGCTGGGAGTACAGGGAGATTGAACTCAGGTAGCAGTAATCTATATTCCCATCCCTATTTCGTGAGCCCTTTGAGACGGTGCTACTAAATTGCCTAGGCTGACCTTGAACTTGCACTCTTTCTGCCTCAGCCTCTTGAGTAGCTGGGACTACCAGTGTGCACTATCATACCTGGAAAACAAATGTTTTTATATGTATTGTCACATATAAGATTTGTACAAAAGAGTTTGCCATTTGGGGCTATAATTATGACTTTATTGAGTAAGTTAAGGGATTACTGAAGATGCACCCAGAGCAGCCAGTGGGAAGGGTTTTTAAAAAGCAGCTGGTAGCTATCATATATGTATGACTGAGTGCCTCAGCTTCATCTGTGGGAAAAGGAGAGCTGCTGAAGCTAGTCAGAGATTATAATCTGTTTAGCAAGAATGGGCATGCACAGAGAATCAGAGTACCAGCTGGAACAAAACTGGTGCCTAGGATACAGCTGGAATCTTCTGATGTCATTCAAAACAAATACCAGTGTCTGGAATATTTAGAAAATTCAGAAGTGAGGGTCAACCCTTTAAAAAGGCTCCAACAGAACATTAGGAGCAAGATTTCACATAGAAATTAGACAGCTGGAGCCCAGTTGCTGTGCTTGAGGCCCTGGATTCAATTTGCAGTGTGTGTGTGTGTGTGTGTGTGTGTGTGTGTGTGTGCACGCACACACACACACACACAATTACTCCATTGCAAGATGATCTGGATGATTTGGGAGATTTTGCCATCCACTGTGACGAAAGGATTTAGATGTGATTATGCTTGAGAGCCTTATGGAGCAGTTTGGAAATTTGTGGGAGTATTGTTGGTATATGAGCGTAGGGAGAAGATAGTGTCCATTGGCTCTTAGTGGGTTATAGACCTAGTAATTCAGATATTCTAATTTTTTTTGTGTGTGTGTGTGCGTGTGTGTGTATGTGGGAGGGTGCTAGAGGTAGAACCCAGGATTTCATGCATGCTAGGAGCTGCATACTCAACGTGAGAGGAATGCTTAAATAGAACAAAGACCCTGTTTTAGCTTGATCTGGAGGAATACACCTATAATCCTTGCACTCTGAAAGGCTAAGGCAAGAGGATTGAAAGTTCAAGTCCAGCTTGGCTAGTGACTTAGTGAGGCTCTGTCTCAAAAAGGAGGATGAATTGGAGGAGGAGGAAGAGGAGGAGGAGGAAGAAGAGGAGGAGGAAGAAGAGGAGAAAGAGGAAACAGAGGAAGGGAGGAGGTAGTTATTGAGGAAGAGCAAGAGGAGGATGAGGAGAGATCCTTAATGCAATTTTTTTTTTTTTTTTTGGTACAGTGAGAAGTGTGAGTTCCACACTCAGGGGTTTGTTTTCTTTCCATATCACTTTGATGTCTCCTTACAGATGCACCATAGAACTCATAAGCTGCTGGATACCTGCTTTTCCAATTAATTCCCCCTTCTTCCATTTAAAAAAAAAATTTTTTTTAATTTTTGGAGGAACCAGGGATTGAACTCACCGTTGTTTGTTTAAAGATATGTTTTTCAAAGTTTGGTATTACTCCTGGATTATATGTTTATTTGTATGAATGCCCTTTTCTTACATGGAAACAGTATTCTGGAGGCAGATATTTGGTCTATTTTGTTCAGTGCTGTATTTCCAGCATTCAGCCTCATGCCCTTCACCAAAAGAGCAAATATCCAATAAATTTATTTATTATTATTTTGTTTTTTTGAGACAGGGTTCTTCCTAGGTAGCCCAGGAGGGCCTTGAACTCATGAGCCTGTTGTCTCAGCATCCCAAGTGCTGACATTACAGGTGTGCACTACCGCACCCAACAAATTTATTGAATGAGTGAATGACAAATTTAGCTAAGGGAACTTGCGCAAGTTTCTGTTTGTTATTTTGTTTTTCCTAGATCTATTTCCTCATCTGTTAAATCAAGATAATGGTAACTAGCAACTTCAAAATTGCTGTATTAAAAGGGACAACGTAGGTAATATACTTAGCATGGTGTTTGGCATGTACTAAAGGTTAGGAAATGTTAGTTGGTATTATCATCATTAAAAATAAGGTCTATGAGCAACCAAAGCTCTTACACATTGCTGGTAGGAATGTGAAAATAGAGCCAATTTTTTTTCATAATTTTATTGAGAAACAAATAGCAATGAGACAGTTTCAAATCAAATTGGTAGGACAGTTTCAATAATTAACACATTGCATACATTCTAATACAGCCAATTTGGAAAGCAGTTTATCATTTTCTTATAAACGTAGACATATCATACAATTTAGAATTATACTTCTAAATATATACCCAGGTAAAATGAAAATTTAACTCTCTTCCTGTGAGCAGCCTTAGGTGACCTGTAAAAATGGTTCGCTACTCTCTTGACCCAGAAACCCCCACAAAATCACGCAAATCAAGAGGCTCAAATCTTCGGGTTCACTTTAAGAACACGCGTGAAACTGCCCAGGCCACCAAGGATGGCTGAACTTAAGGGTTTAGATGTAGATTCTCTGGTTATTGAACATATCCAGGTGAACAAAGCACCCAAGATGCGCCATGCTTATAGAGCTCATGGCCAGATTAATCCACACATGAGCTCCCCTTGCCATAATGGATGATTCTTACTGAAAAGGAACAAATTGTTCCCATATCAGAGGAGGAAGTTGCACAGAAGAAAAAAATATCCCAGAAGAAACTGAAGAAACAAAAACTTACGGCATGGGAATAAATTAAGCATAAAATAAATACAAATAAAATTTAAAAAAAGAAAATTTATGTTTACACAAAAATCTATAATGTTTACAGTAGCTTTATTCTTTTAAATTAAAAAAATCTTTTTTTAATATTTATTTATTTATTTATTTTGTGTGTGTGTGTGTGTGTGTGTGTGGCCAGCTCAGCCCACCAGGGGGCGGGGCTGGCTGGCATGTGGTGCTGGGGGATTGAACCGCAGTCCCTGTGCTTTGCTTGGCTTAGCTTGTTCTAAGTAGGTGCTTTAGACCACTGAGCCATCTCACCAGCCCAAAAAAATCCTTTATTTATTATTTATTTGGTACAGGGTCTTGCTACCCAGCTCAGACTGCTAGTGATCCTCCTGTCTCAGCCTCCGCAGTGCTGGGATTACTGTTATATCTTAATTTTTTTTTTTTTTTTTGTAGAACCAGGGATTGAACTCAGGCCCTTGTGCTTGCCAGGCAAGCACTTATTCTGCTGAGCTATCTCCCTGGCCCAATATCTTAATTTTTAAAATGAAATGAAGGCTGGGGAGATAGCTTGGCAGTATAAGTGCCTGGCCTGGCAAGCTCAAGGACCCGAGTTCCATCCTCAGTCCCACATGCTGAGCTGGCCACCAAAACCAGGTGTGATGGTGCAACTTGTAATCCCAGCTCTGGGGAGGCTGAGACAGGAGGATCACTATGAGTCTGAGTTTCATAGCTAGATCCTATACCAAATAAAGATTAAAACATAAATAAAATGAAAAAAAAAAAACCCAACAGGTGATATAATTGCCTTTCCTTTAAAAAAAAATGGCATTTATATTTTCTGATTATAAAAGCACTACAGGGGCCAGGGAGATGGCTCAGTGGAATAAACACTTCCCTGGCAAGCACAAGGGTCTGAGTTCAATCCCCGGTTCCGCAAAAAAAAAAAAAAAAAAAGAAAAAAAGAAAAAAGAAAAAAAAAAAAGCACTACAAGTTAAAAAGAAGGTACTACAGGTTCATTTTAGACATTGGGGAAAAATGCAGAAAAATAGTATTTCCTTATATCGTTTTATCACCATGCAAATTGGAAACCTGCTATACATTTTTGCTTTCTGAAATAATTATGTGCCTTTTTCATGTCAATAAATAATTTTCAAAACCATGATTTTATAACTTAATATTCCATTGTAGAACTGACTTACGTTTTGAGTATCCCTTTGGTTAGAATTGTATTGTTTATATCATTACTTGTCAAATTAAAAATAAATTATGTATATGTGCTGCCGAAGCGAGCACATAAAAATAAATTATGTTGCTTCCATTTTTTCCTTACTATAAATAATCTTGGTAGAATCTTAAAAAATGAAGAGCTCAGTCAGGCCAAAGACTTTTTTGCACTTTGGGGTTTCACAATGTTCAACTGGTAAAGCAACCCTTCCTTTGATGGCAACTCCCTCACTGTAGGTAAAGTGGTTCCACAGGGTGATCTGGCTTCTTTCTGCCTTTGTGGTACAGAAGAGTTAGACACCTAGTATTTCCTGTATTACTAGTTTAAATCTGCATAGTACTTTTAATATTTAATGCACCGCTATCCAATGGCAAAGCAGGCAGGGCACGCGATGTGATCTGTCCATGATCACGAAGTTTATCCCGGGGCTTAGGTTCCCCTATATTCATTCATCCTTGAGCAGGAGCCATGCTAATCTTCTCTGTATCGTTCCAATTTTAGTATATGTGCTGCCGAAGCGAGCACATGTTCAGTCTCACAAAGTAAACATTTCCCCAGTTGTAAGACTTGTCTAGTCTATTTTTCTCCTCCCCCAAAGGGAGCTTCGGTCAACTTAGAAATAACTGCTTAGGACCCGGCACGCAGGGAACCAAGTGGACGCTGTCCCATCATCACCTGATGTCGGTGGCAACATCGCCACTTACCAGGAGGGGTCATGTCACCCCTGAGGACAGGGGAACACCTACTGCCACCGACCCAGAGACCCAGGGAACTGCCCGCGGCGCAGTCCCTTGGGGTTGAGTCTGTCTTTGCGCAGCTGCTGGCGCTGCCATCCACTGAGGCTTGCCGCCCGGAGGCCATGCTCTCCCTCGACATAGGGACCTCTGTGGGAGGCGCACAACCGTCTTACCATTAAGGACCGAGGGAGAGGAAGCAGGAACCTCGCTGCTAAAGGGCTGGTAGAAAATTCCTGGAGAAAAGCCTCCTGCGCTCGGGCACCCACTATCCCAGAATGCCCTGGATCCCGGAAGTGCCCGGCTTCCCGGAAGTGCTGGGCTGGCTGACAGAGCCCGGCTGGTCAGAGCGCGGCAGCGGCGGGATTGCTATTCCAAGTCTGGTGACGGCTGGAGGTCCAAGTGTCGGGAAATTGGGGCGGGAGGGAGCTAGGGGCCGGGGGGACGGGAAGATGGAGGAGGAGGAACTAGAGTTCGTGGAGGAGCTGGAGGCCGTGCTGCAGCTCACGCCCGAGGTGCAGCTGGCTATCGAGCAGGTGAGCATTCCGCCCCCTCAGGGAGGGCGGGTGTGGAGGACCGGCCAGCTCCGGGCGGCGGGACGTGGGCAGGCCCGGGGAGGAAGCCGGGTTGGGACCAAAAGGAGGGGGCTAAGCGCAGAGGGAAAGCGAAGGTTTGAGGAAGAAGGGGGTGGCAATGGGTTACTGAGCCAGGGGAGAGAAAGGGTTATTTCTAGGCCTAAATTTTCTTTGGAGGCTGGGCATCCTGGTGGGTTTGGGCAAAAAGCTGTGCTCTTGAGACGACGAATCTAGAAGGAGGGGCCCCTTGAGTGGCTACGTCAGATTCTAGGAGGGTGGGTTACATTCTTAAGGGCCAATGCCGCTGCTCCCGTTTGTGCTCGGAGTTAGTGTAGAGGGAGATCTTGCTGAAGCAAATGGCAGAGCAGAGGGACGTAGTGAAAAATGCCTCTTTACCATACTTAAAAGGTAGTGAATGCCTGCTGTTTGCGTTACATTGGAGAAATTCCCAGGAGTCCTCTCCTAACTGCAGGATCTCTTCAGGAAACTACATTTCCTTTTCAAGTTTAATAAAAATTGAAGGGTAATGATATTAGAAGTCATGATTGTGTCTTTGTACAGGTCTTTGCTCTGGATAAAGACAGAAAATCTCCATTAGAGGAATTGTCATGATGTTATGATACAAGAACAAGACTCATTTAGTGACGACTGGCAAATTTTTCTGAGTGAAACATTGTTTCTACTAATAAGTCATATATATTGACCAGTAATACCATGGCTCTGCCACCATACTAAATTATTTATTTTATTGAGAAACAAACATCAATGAGACAGTTTCAAAGCTGATTAATAGGACAGTTTCAATAATTAATACATTGTACATTGTTATCTTCTTAGTGGTTATCCATAGTACAAGAAGCAGACAGGATATCCTGTCCAAACACTATTACTACGAATTTTTCTTCTCATTGAATTAAACAAAAGTAGCTATATATCTATCCTAACTATTCTGTATATACAAATACAAAATGGTGCTTCCTTTGTATCCCCTATTTTGTTTAGTCCTGTCAGAGATGGGTATTCTATTGGCATCTAAATATTATAGGTGCTTGAATTCAGCAAAACAATTCAACATAGTCCAGCAGTCCACAATAGTAGTGGGTTATCCGCAGAAGTTGTTGACTAGAGCCTTTTACAGCTCAGCATATTAATATGGCTTTACTTTAGATACCTTGTTTTTATACTTTTCTGCTGTATGGTTAAGACCAAGATAAAGCAAGACCTATATAACAAGAAATATAACTTTTGTATCTGATAAGATCAGTCAAGTCCCCTCAGGATTTATCCTGTAACCCTGTACCGCACTTTGTAGATCCTTTGTCAGTAGATGAGTCACAGCCATTGCTTGACCAATTTGCTCTCTGTGAAAGCCTGAGAGAAAGTTTTCTCTCCATGTGACTCTCCTTAGGCACACTATACATCATCAATCACATTCCTTTGTGGCTCCATAATCTCCTTGAGCAGAAAATTTGGGGCACAACTGAGTTACATGATGTTACAGTACAGGTTCTCCTATGTCCTCAATATTCACTGACTTTGAAAGGCTAGGGCCAAATGTTGGCTGGTCTTGCAGCCCTTCCTTTTCTCCAAGTTTTGATCTGCAAACTTAGGTTGTTAACCCTCCAGAAGAGAAGCTTATTAGTACCATGCAACATATGCAGTTTGGTTTACCCTAACTATCTGTCTAAATATCAAACATCTTTGGCATAATGTGGAACAGGTATTTTCCATCAAGTATTGATGTGTTGAACTTTTAAGTCCTTACAGAATATGAAGAAAAAAAATTTTAAAAATAGAAATAAACACATTTTTACACAGAAATTTAGAAGTCTAACCATATACATTTATTTTATTTTTTAACTCCCCCTCCCCCTAGTTTATTTTTATTGTTCCATTTGTAGGCTTTTTGGTTGACATTGTTCTAGGAGCACTTGGATTACTTGTACAAACCACATTTGCTATATCTTGAGAATGCCAAGCCCTAGAGCAAAAACCTTGTATTCAGACCACAGTGCTCCCCAACCCGCCTCTTCGACAGAAAAAGACATACATTTTAGTTGTACTTGGACCTAGTGGGTTCTAATGGGAGAAACAGAATGCAGTCAATTAGGGTTTAACTGACAAGAACTTAGAAGATCATGGATTTTTGCTATATTCTTGAGATGTAGATAGGCTTATCTCATCTAGTAAGTACACATCAGATGTGACTTAAGATGAATTTAGAAGCTTGTCATACTTTACTAGTCTAAGATTGAGTAAAAGTCTACTAGTAATACATATGTGGATATTTTGTTTTACAATGCTGGGGATCAAGCCAGAGGCATTGTACATACTAGTTACAATGAGTTACACTCACAGTCCTACAAACAGTACTTGTCAAAAGTAGTGATCTTTGAGGAATTAAGGGTTGATATAATGGAATCACATTTTACCCGGTTATTAAGCTCTGAAGTCATTACATAAAATGAAAGTCACACACTGTAGTTATGTTATTTTTGAAATTCCTTAAATTGCCTGTGAAGTATATTGTATAAGCATTGCTTTGATGAATCTAGTGTTAGTTTTCTCATCCGGCATTTCAATGAGTCACTTTTTGTGGTTATCACAGATGGAATAGCTGGCTTAAGTTAAGAGCTTTGCTAGTATGTGAAAACATTAAAACCAAGGATAGCATCCAAGGACAGTAAGAGGAATGAGAAACTGAGGAAACCTTGAGGAAATGGATAATTCACATCTCTTAGATTGTACTCAGGATGACACTGATTCTTTTTTTTTTTTTTTTTGGTGGAACCAGGGATTGAACTCAGGTCCTTGTGCTTGCCAGGCAAGCACTTATTCCACCGAGCCATCTCCCCGGCCCCCAACACTGATTCTTATGGCAAGCTGATTTCCCAGCATTTCATCTGGAGAGGGCATATAATGAAGTGATTTGAAGTTATATCTGTGTGACAGTGGTGGCGATCCAATGGCACATATGTTGCTTTTCTTTTAAGACAAACTATTAATGTATGAGTTTTCTAAACTAAAACCTTATTGTTCAGGTTTAATAGCAGTATTGGCACTAAGTGGGTTTTGGATTGCAGTTTGGGCACTTGTCTCTACAATGTTTGCCATCACTGGTATATGATATATGTCTGATGTATAGTATAGAAAATGCTAAACATTAAAAAAAAAATACCTTCACGACCTCCATCTCTTTTTTACATTGAGGGTGTCTTAGACTCTTCTAACAATTTTCTTTAACTTCTCTTAGGAGACATTTTGATCCTTTGATGCTATATTACTTTGAAAAGCTTCATCTTTAAAGAAGTTGCTTTCCAGAATCATAACTACCTTGATCTGGTAAAATTCAGTGCCTAAGAAATTCTTTGACTGCATTGATTGGTTCTGAGATTGAACCAAGGGCTGAGGACCTTCACACTGAGCTGTATCCCTAGTCATTTTCTACTTTTTTAAAAATTTTAATTAAAAAAAAATCATTTATTTATTTATTTGGTACTCACTATGTAGCTCAGACTCATAGTGTTCCTCTTGTCTCAGCCTCCCAGCACTGAGATTACAGGTGTGCACCATCATGACAGGCTTTAGTGGCTGGCACGGTGCTCCCAGCACAGCATGCAGTACCAGGGATCGAACCTGGGTCCTTGCTCTTAGACTGCCGAGCTATCTCCTCAGCCATACTTTTATTTTTTTGAGATAGAGTCTTGCTAAGTTCTCCAGGCTAGAGTTGAATTTGCAATACTGTCTTGACCTCCTCGGGTGCTGGAATTGTAGGCCTGTATCCCCATGCCTACCTGACTTGACTGCTTTTTGTGTGTGTGGTAGTACTGGGGATTGAACCCAGGGCCATGCTACCACTGAGCTACTCCCTCCCCCCACTTTTTGGAGACATTATCTTTTCCTTACTTGCCCTGTGGGACTTCAACATGTAATCCTCCTGCCTCAGCTTCCCTCAGTACTAGTATTAGAAGTGTACATCACCACATCTGGCTTGATTACATTTTTTTTTCGGAACCGGGTATTGCACTCAGGCTCTTGCACTTGCCAGGGAAGCGCTTATTCCACTGAGCCATCTCCCAGGCCCTTTGATTGCATTTATAAGCCACCTTATTACATGTTCTTCAAGTTGTGGATTTTATTCAGTTTTATTTTTTGTGGTACTGAGAATCGAACTTGGGACCTTATGCTTGCTGAGCAGATGCTTATGCCACTATCTCCCTGGCCCTAAAGCTGTGAGTTGTAAAGGGATTTAGCTATATTTCTCAGAAGGTGACTTTTTTTTTTTTTTTTTTTTTGTCTTTTTGAGACATAGTCTTGCTATGCAGTTTAGGCTGGCCTTGAGCTCACTTTATAGCCTAGGCTGGTCTTGAACTCACAACAAACCTCCTGCCTTGCCCTCCTGAGAAGAAGGTGGCTTTTGATTATAAACCTCAATGCCAGTTCTTCATTTCTTGACACTATCTGCTACATAAAATATGATTCACTGAAGGGTGGCATATAGTTCAGTGGCTTGTTAAGTACATGTGAGCCTCTGCATTTAATTCTCCAGCCAAGAAAAATGTATCGCTTCAATGTGTTGTGAATTCTACTAAGACATCATGGAGACTTAGCACAATTTATTATCAAGGCTTTCTTAATAGAACCTGTCACCAGATGGTTTAATCTAATAGTATACAAAGCCTGCTGACTTTTGCTTGTTCTTGAGACTTCACTGATAGGGAATTTGCAGTTTAACATTTGTATGTTCTGTCCATTTTGCCAATATGTTAAAATTACAGATGAAAATTAAAGATTTGGGTCAGCCAAATAGCTCAGCAGATTAAAGCGCCTGCAAGTAGGCACAGGGGCTGGGGGTTCAATCCCTGGGCCTGCCCCTGGGGTGCGCTGAGACAGTAATTGAGGCTGGGCGTGGTGGTACATGCCTGTAATCCCAGCTCTTGGGAGGCTGTAAACAGGCAGATCACTACAAGTCCAATCTAGTGGTGAAACCCTGAACACCATGTAGACCCTTCCCTAAAATACAAAAAAAAAAAAAAAAGAAAAGAAAGAAAATTGAAGATTTACATATTGGATATTTTATTGAGTATTTGTTTATTTTTGGTACTTGGAATTGAACTCAGGACCTTGTACTTTGAATGCTTATTTACTAGCTATTTTATTGAGGTATCTGTTATGAGTGAAACAAAAAATGAATAAAGAATTTTTCTATTCAGGTAACTTATATAGTAGGGAAGAAACAAAAAATACATAAGGTAGAAAGGACACAGTTATTGCTGATCCTCTATTTTTAAAAAAGTATTTTCTTTTATTTGACAAAAATTACATATGTATTTTGGTGTCCAGTATGATGTTTTGCTATATAACCACTTGTTTTTATGTAGGTATTTCCAAGCCAGGATCCTCTAGATCGCGCAGATTTCAATGCCGTTGAGTATATCAATACCCTGTTCCCAACAGAACAAGTAAGTATTGAGTTTTAGGTTTCTTTCATTTCAGTGGCTTCTGGCTCATCCTGAGTGTTATGATTGCTGTCTTATACTATATAACCTAATAGCTCTCGATAAACAGATGAGTGTTAAATTGAAATCAAACTCTACTGCAAGCCAGGTGTGGTGGTGCAAGTCTATAATTCTAGTACCCTGGGAGGCTGAGACAGGGTGAGTTCAGGTCAGCCTAAACTATACAGCAAGACCCTGTCTCAAAAAACAAGCAAACAAAACAACCACTCCCAAATCCAGAAAACTCAACTGTAACCAATTAGGTCAGTTAGATAATTGTGTTAGAGTAGAATTCTTTTTTAGTGATCACATTATTAGAAATTATATCCTTAGGTTTTTATTTTTTTTATTTTTAACATTTATTGTGTGTGTGTGTGTGTGTGTGTGTGTGTGTGTGTGTGGTCAGCTCAGCCCACCAGGGGGCGCGGCCGGCATGTGGTGCTGGAGGATTGAACCGCGGTCCCTGTGCTTTGCCAAGCTTGTTCCAAGTAGGTGCTTTAGACCACTGAGCCATCTCTCCAGCCCCTATCCTTAGGTTTTTAATAGTACCTCTTCCATCAAATTGTGTTGTAAATTGGAAATTGGGAAGGATTTTTGTATATAAAAAGGAAAAACTGATTGTCAGGATAAGCCTTGAGTCATAAAGCAACTTTCACTCCTATATAAAAATGTAAATCTTGGGGCCAGCAAGGTAGCTCAGCAATATAAGCGCTTGCTTGGCAAGCTCAGAGTCCCAGTTTGATTCCCAGCACCACATGGTGTGCTGGCCTTGCCCTCAGATGTGCTGAGCCATGAAGACTGAGCGTAGTGGTGCACATCTGTAATCCCAGCACTGGGGAGGCAGAAAATAGTATCACTACACATAGCGAGACCCTGTACTAAATTTATAAAAATTATAAGTAAATTTAAAATTTTAGATGGCATGCTGAATTACAACTCTAACCCTGTTTAATCTTTATTTTGAGACAAGATCTTGCTGTGTTGCTTAGGCTGGGCTTGGATTTACAAGCAGTCTGCCTCAGTCTCCCAGAATGCTGGGGTTATGTGCCACTGCACCCAACCTGTTATTGTCTTGTGGGGTGATTTACCTAGATAGATGTTTTTCTTATAGTAAGGCAAAAATTAGAAGTAGCAGAGTTGGGAGAAGGAGAGCTAGAGTTCTGCTTGATTTTTCATTCTCTCAGCAAACGTTCAGTGGATACCCAGTATGTGTTGTCAATCACTGTCCCAGGTTCCGGAACACAAAGATGAATAAAACACAGTCCTTGCTCTTGAGGTATACATGATCAAGTATGAGGAGATACAATTGAATGCTTTAAGGGAGGTATGGGGACAGTACAGTGAGGAGAAAAAGAATGGTTCTGCCTAAAAAAATCAAAACCTCAGGAAAGCCCTCTGCCAAGTCTTGAAAGATTTATTTATTCATTCAATTCAGTCAAATTCAGTAATCATTTAAAAAGTGTCTATTAAGTGTTAGTCTGTCTTTTAGAAACTGAGGAAAAAATGGCCAACATGACTGCTTAATTCCTGGTTTTATGGGGTCTAGAGTGAAGAAGGAAACAAAACAAATTAACACATGAATAGACAAATTATCAAGTGTGGTTAATGATGTGATGAATTGTGGGTACAATGATAGGGTATGATGGCATGGGTTGGGGTCCTTCAATAAAGGAAGATTAAAAGAACTTAAAGCTGTCACTGAGGAAGTGCCCTTTACACTGAGACCTGATAGATATATTGGAGTCAGGCTTGTGGCAGTTGAGTGGAATGCTACAGTGAGTGGCTAGGTAAATCTTTGGTGAAGAGGAGGGAAAAGGAGTCATTGTGAACACAGCAGGCAGGATGACTAGTTAGGAGGCAAAAGCACAAAGTCACTAGAAAAAGAAGCTGAGAAGCTGAGTGGTAGCAGTTTGACAGAGGACATGATCTGAGAAGTGAGGACATAAAAATCACAGTTTTGTTCCTGAAGGATGCATTTGAGGCTTCTGTAAAATCTAAAATTCATAGGGTGGAGAGACAGCTCAGCACCATAAGCACCTGCCTGGCTTGCACAAGGTCCCAAGTTTGATCCCTGGTACTGCAAAATAAATAAATAAATAAATAAATAAAATAAAATTTGTTAATTCTGCAACAGCAAAAATACCTACTCTGCCTGCTTAGGCAGATGCAAGGACCAGGTTCAATCCTAAGTATGCTGTCCCGGCCTTGCCCCCAGGGTGCTCTGAGCTGTTGACTGAGACTGGGTGTAGTGGCATGCGCCTGTAATCCAAGCACTTGGGAGGCTGAAAACAGGAGGATCACTGTGAGTCCAGTCTGTATAGTGAGACCCTATAAGCCCTCTAATAAATACATTAAAAAAAAAAAAAAAACAATCCTCTGTCTAGCTGCATTAGAAATTGAGCAGAGAGTACAGTTCCATAGCAGGATGCATACTTAGCATGCTGAGCCGCCCTGGGTTCAATCCCTAGCACAAAAGAAAGAAAGAAAGAAAGAAAGAAAGAAAGAAAGAAAGAAAGAAAGAAAGAAAGAAAGAAAGAAAAAATTGTGGATAGAGGTATGAGATCCTTGCCAACATAGACCTCATAGTCTCTCTTAATAATTAGTTGCACAGGGCCGAGGAGATAGCTCAGTAGAATAAGCACTTGCCTGGCAAGTGCAGGGTCCTGAGTTCAATCCCTGGTACTGAAAAAAAAAACAAAAAACAAAAACTGAGGGGTGCTAGAGGTTAGCTTTACTGGCTTCTCACCCCTACAAAGATATCCTTTGGGGCTGGGGAGATGGCTCAGTAGAATAAATGCTTCCCTGGCAAGCGCAAGGGCCTGAGTTCAATCCCCGGTTCTGCCAAAAAAAAAAAAAAAAAAAAAAAATTAGTTGTACAATTTACCAATATAAGTAAATTGTAAAATTACAGTGACTTATTTGTATCATTATTTGTTACTTGCTTAAAGAGTTCTGAGTTCTACTACAGCTATAATAATAGTAAACATTTATTGGATGTTTACTGTGCACCAGGCACCATGCTAAGCACCTAGCCATGATGAATTCTCCACTTTATTGTCATTTTTATTTTCTGGTGGGAGTAAGGAGGCACGGAGAGGTAAACTCAAATGTGATAGCACTTCCATGAAGAGCAACAGGCTGCCAAAGAATATGAAGAGGCTTTCCTGAGGACAGGGAGAATATTATATGCCAAATAGAGGATTCTGAACTTTGAATTCTAGCCTGACACATTGGGTAGGTGTTGGCGTCTCCCCCACTGTGGAGAGTAAGGACGAAGAGCAAGTGTCAGTGGTCAGTACGGTTAAAGGAGAGTGTAAGCAAGAGCTCAGTTTTGAATACATTTGGACTATTTGGGTAGAAATATATAGATGGGTCTTTGAGCGTGGAACTTACCATCTTGGTCTTTAATGTCTGGAGATACAGCATTTCAGACTTTCTTTTTTTGAATTAATAACAAAATTATCTTTTTCATTGGTGTACTTGCCTGTTTTTTAAATTCATTTTTATTTATTTATTTTTTGTATTTTAGGGTAAGGGTGTCCAGGGTCTCACTACTAGATTGGACTCTAGTGATCCACCTGTTTACAGCCTCCCAAGAGCTTGGATTACAGGCATGTGCCACCACACCCAGTCTCAATTGCCATCTCAGTGTGCCGGGGGTAGGGCCAGCCTGGCAGAGCTGGGGATCGAATCCCCTGCCTCTGTGCCTGCTTGCAGGCACTTTAATCCACTGAGCTATTTGGCAGGCCCTTAAATACAATTTTATTTTTAACTGACACACAGTAATTGTACATATTCATGGGATGCAGTGTGACATTGTAATACATATACAGTATGTAGTTATCAGATCAGAGTAATTGGCATGTGTGTTAAACATTTATCATTTTGGGAACACAAAATCCTCTCAAAACTATTTTGAAATATGTAATTTTTTATATATATATATATATCTAATGCAGGGTCTACAGGGTCTCACTATACAGATCATACTGTAGTGATCCTTCTGTTTTTAGCCTCCCAAGTGCTGGGATTACAGGCGTGCGCCACCATGCCCAGTCTCAATGGGGCCAAGGTGGGGCCGGCATGCTGAACCCCAGTCCCTGTGTCTGCCTAAGCAGACACTTTAATCTGCTGAGCTGTCTGTCCAGCCCTTGTAATTTTAATTGATGCTAACAATAATCTTACTGTTCTGTAGAACTTTGGAAGTTATTCCTCCTATTCATCTGTACCCCCTTCTAAACTTTTTAGCATGGACATACTACTTTTTAAAATAAAAATTTAAAAATGGTAGACTATGTAATTATCTTTGTGGAGATGTCACAAATAGCAGTCATAACTCAACATTTTCTATGAAAAGAGAGAGAGAAAAAAAAAGGGAAAAAGGAAAAAAAAATTGAAAAGAGAAGTTTAGGATTAGCCAGAGATACATACTTGGTAACAACTTGCATAACGATTGAAATTTTAACTATGCAAGTGTTCCACTTAACTGAGCCTATCAGGAATGATGACTCAGCAAAGCTGTTAGATTTGAAATTTACATAGTAAACCCCAAGTTCTCACCTTTTCCTGACAAGATTGTATATATTTGTTTTTTAAACTGCGGAAGACAAGGGGCTGGGGAGATAGCGCAGTAGAATAAGCGCTTGCCTGGCAAGCGCAGGGTCCTGAGTTCAATCCCTGGTACCAGAAAAAAAAAAAAAAAATTCTCCTGTCAAACATACAGATTTGGGTCAGGGAGATGGCTCAGTAGAATAAGCACTTGCCTGGTAAGCACAAGGGCCTGCGTTCAATCCCTGGTTCTGCCAATAATAATAATAATAATAATAATAATAATAATAATAATAATAAAATAAAAAAATGAACAGTAGAAGGCATTTATGGTTCCAGTTATATTTCTTTCCTAATTGTATGTTACATGCCTTCATATATGATAATATACAGTGTAGTTTCTTAGTATAACATAG